CGCCCAGTGCACGGCTGCGGCTGCGGCTGCGGCTACGGCTGCGGCGCGCGCGCGGACGGTGCGTGCGCCCGGGAAGGGGCTCGCGGCGAGGCGAGGGCGGGGTCCCCCTGCTGGGGAGCCCGGAGGCGGGTCCCTAGAGCCCACCCCGTTTCAGGGTCACGGGCCCGCCCCCCTACGGTGACTCAAACTTTCCCGGCCCCCGCGGCTCGCCCAGGGCCAGACCCAAGGTTAGGGGAGGACGCGGGGGCGGGACCGGACCGCAGCAGGGGGGCGCGGGGGGCGGGCCAAAGGGCGGGAAGGGATGCGGTTGCACGGGCCCGGCGGACCACCTGCGCCTTCTGACCCGGCGCCCCTGCAGGGGGGAGGGGGAGAGAGGGTGGCGCAACAGCCCGGTCCTGGAGGTCTGGGCCGCCAGGAGGCTGGCTGAGTTGTTCCCTCCACCCAGCTCCCCATAAACGCCCCGCCCCGCCCCACCCACACACGAATCCAACGCTTTTTCTTTCCACAGGGATCTGTGCTTCCCGGTTGTTGAAATTGTTACTGTTATTACAATCCAGCACCAGACGATGAGCACCTACTATGTGCTAAGCGTCTTCACACGGTTATTTCCTCCAATGCTCGCTGCAACCGTAGAGGGAGCCACTGACTCTAACCCCATTTTACAGAGAAGCAAACTGAGACTCGGGCATTTACAAACTGAGGTAAGTCATTTGCCCAGTCACTCAGCTCTCAAGTGGTGGAGAAAGGACTAGAAGCCAGATCTAGAAAGATTCCCAGGACCCTCGCCTCTGCTGCCTGGGAGATCACAGGTCATCCGATGACTCCAGAGGATGGGTGCCCCTCTGCCCAGCTCCCTCCCCAGGCCCCATGGACTGGTGTGAAGGTTCTGGGACACCTGGGAGGTGTGGGCGGAGCTTCCTGGGCTCCGGCTAGCCACCCTCCTGGTTTATTTCTACCCTGGGCGTCTCTCCCCATTGCCTAGGAGCCCATTAAGGCTGGGACTGTGTCTGGGTTCCCCCCATCAGTCCGCAGTTTCCAGCCCAGTCCTGGCACATGGTGGGGACCTCACCAAGTGCTGCCAGAATAAAGAAGAGCTCTCGCCTGGCCGGGGTGGCTGACTTGTTTGGAGCATCATCCTGTGCACGGAAAGGTCACAGGTTCGATTCCCAGCCAGGGTCATGTCTAAGTTGCAACCTTGGCTGGGATGCGTATGGGAGGCAACCAATGGATGTTTCTCTCTCACATCAATGTTTCTCTCCAACCCCCCTTCCTCTCTCTAAAATATATATATATATATATATATATATATATATATATATATATCCCCTAGGTTCGGCTCAGTGGATAGAGCGTCGGCCTGTGGACTGAAGGGTCTCAGGTTCAATTCTGGTCAAGGGCGCGTACCTCCGTTGCAGGCTTCTCCCCAGCCCAGGCCCTGGTTGGGGCATGTGCAGGAGGCAACCAATCGATGTGTTTCTCTCACATCAATATTCCTCTCTGTCTTTCCCTCTCTCTTCCACTCTCCCTAAAAATCAATGGAAAAATATCCTCGGGGAGGATTTAAAATAAAATAATAAATAAAATGTAAATTAAATAAATAATAAATTAAATAAAAACTTGTTAAAAAAAGAGAGAAAAGATGACAGCGTTTGTGGCCTGCCTGGTCTGAGCCTTGGACGACAGGGCAGTTCCCCGCCCCTCCCTCAGCGCCTCCTCTGAGAAGACCAGGCTCCCAGGACAGGTGCAGGCAGCCCCGCAGACATGGCTGATGGCTCTGCGTCTGTGATGGGGGGGTGGGGAGGGTGAAGAGGGGAAATTGCTCCAGCCCTTACCCCTCCAGAGCCCCACCCCCTCCCCATACCTCCTGCCTCCCCTGCCATCTCAGGTCACACCCCACCTCTGCAGCTGCTTCAGCACCTGGTTCTGTGACCCCACAGCCCGTGTTGGCCCTTTGTCTAGCACTGATCATGCTATTCCCAATGTCATCTATGTGGCAGGGCTGTCCCTCCTACCCCACCTGTGAGCTCTGGGGCAGCAGAGACCCGGTGCCTGGCACATAGTAGGTGTCCAAGGAAGGAATGCCACGTGAATGGGTCAGGGGGTGTCAGATGCCTGGTAGCTGAGCGCTGGCCCTGGCGGGGGAGGCCGCACACATCCTCAGGGACCGTGTTCTAGACCAGGGCGAGGCCCACGTGTAAGAAGGGCTGGGGTCTGGAGGAAATGGTCGCCATGGAGCCGCCTGCCTTGCGGGATACGGGCGGAACCACGTGCCCAGACCCAGGTGAGAGCAGAACTTAGGTCCAAGCTCATGAGAGGTTGAGTCACCTGTACTTCTGGACATGGGCTCTTTAAATCTCACTGGGCTAAGGCCATGATTGGCCCCAGGACTGGCCAGGGCTGGGCCAGCTGTTGGAGAGAGAAGAGAGGCCCCAGCTGTGGACGGCAAAGGCGGACAGGAGCCAGGAGTCAGGCAGGGCTCACAGACAGTGACATAGCAGGTAGAGTACAGGGGACCTTTGGGGACAAACAAGTACTCCAGTCATTCACTCTACAAACGTTCGCTGAACCTAAGCCTGGTGTCAGGCACGCTGCTAGGCACTGTTGGGGGAGGGGGGCATACAGATGTGCAAGACATGCTCTCTACCCTGGGGAGAAGATACACGTAAACAAATAATTCCAAGGCAATGACATAAGTGCTAATAGAGGAATTACCAAGAGCTCTGGGAGCTCAGAGGAAGGAGTGTCTGAGCCTAAGAGGTCAGAGGAGGCCACAGAGTGAGCCTGAGAAGCCTGAAGAACAAGAGGGGAAGGGCATTTGAGCGGCAGGAACAGCATGTGCAAAGGCAAGAAGACAGGAGTGACCTACTCTGGCCCAGTGAGCCTGGAGGGTGACAGCAGAGCAGGGGTCAAAGGCCAGATCTTGAAGGACCTTAAATGTCTTGTGAAGGTCGTGGGGTTTTTCCAAAGGCCCTGAGAAGCTACTGAAGAAGGGGGAGTGGGGTCAACATGATCCAATTTGCATTTTGAAAGGTCACAGGGGCAGAAGTTCCAAGGGTAGATCTTAGAGACACCCAGGAGCCATAAACCTACTCCCGGAGGACGTAAGAGCAGAGCTGGCCCCGAAGAAAGTGAGATGCTTCTCCTAGGCCTGATCCCAAGGGCAAGTGGACCATGAATTTGAGTCTTGAAATAGCCTTGTGACCTAGCGGAAGGCCCTCCCTCTCTGGCCCTTCCTTTCCCCATTTGTGGAATTATTTGAGATGGGCGGGGCTAATGAGATGACCTCCCTGGTTCTTGCAGCCCCACCGCTCTGCAGCCACCACCAGGGGTCCCTTGGAGACACGGGCAGGATGCAAGAGACCATCTGAGCTCACGTGGCGAAGCCTCCACCAGTTGCCATGGAAGGGAGCCTTGGGTGGACACCCCCTCCCACCCAGGGTGGCCAGGGGTGCGGCCCCAAGCACGGGCCTCTCTGGGTGCTCCGTGCCTCCATGGATGTAACCATGGCAGCACTGAGCATGAGCACAGAAGGCCCAGAGGAAACAACCAAAACCTCATCAATCATCTCCCATCCTACCACCTCGACTCTCCAGGCCACCTGGGATCCGAGTTCTGAACTCAAGATAATCCACATTTTTCTTCTGTTGCCAGCAGGGCGGTCTCAGCGGAGCTGCTTGTTTCCTAACATTCCACATGTTTGCTGTGGAGAGCACCAGGGGCCTGGCCCGTCCAGGCCTGTCCACTCTGTCTACACTAGGGATCCAAGACCAGCTGGGGGGCTGGATCAGAACCCAGGACTTGGGCGGTTAAAGAAAGGTGGCCCCTCCCTACCAGTGGGGCTGGCGGTGGAGAGCGTCTGCCCAGTCCTCACTGAGAGCCCATCACCCTGAGGAACGCCCTCTCATTAGATCCCCCAACAGCCCAGCCACTCCGGTCAATGTCCCCTCTTCACCTGACAGGCGAGGACACTGAGGCAGAGGTGAAGGCCTGTGTCCAGGCTGGACTTTGCATTCCTATCTGCCTTTCCCCAGAGCCTAGGATGGATCCACCCTCCACACTGCCTCAGACACGGGGGTGGGGGTGGAGGTGGGGGGGTTGGGTTGGTACAGAGCTCCCAGCTGCAGAACTTCCAGAACAAATGTGGGAGCAGCAACTCAGGCTGGATTTGGACTCAAGTTTCAGACATTTAGCTCCTTTGAAATGCTGAAAACTCATCTCCTACCCATATTCAACCCAACTGCCTGGGCAAAATGAGAGGGGAGAGAGAGAGAGAGAGAAACAACCATGCAGAGAGCAGGTGAGTCTGCCCCTCAGTCTGTAGACACACACAACCAGGACCTGAGAAGTAGAAAGTCTCACAGCCTCATTTCTCTTCTCTGGGAAGGAATGAAAGAAACAGGGGAGGGCCCAGCCGGTGTGGCTCAGTGGTTGAGTGTCGACCCATGAACCAGGAGGTCATGGTTTGATTCCTGATCAAGGCACGTGACCGGATTGAGGGATCAATCCCCAGTAGGGGGCATGCAGGAGGCAGCCTATCAATGATTCTCTCTCATTATTGATGTTTCTAACTCTCTCTCCCTCTCTCTCTCTCTCTCTCTCTCTCTCTCTCTCTGAAATCAATGAAACATTTTTAAAATCTAAAAAAAAACAAACAAAAATAATTAGGTGAGGGCCTGGAGGGCAGGACTAGCAGAGAGTTGAAGGAACTGACAAACAACTTGGAAAGATGGAGCTACTGAGGATAAGGAAGAGGAGCCAGGAAGCTCCACTCAGCACCACTGTGCGAGGGCTCCGAGCAGCCAGGCACCCGAGTGATTTACTGCTGAGCCCAGTCCCTCGATGGGACCAGCCTCC